ATATGCCCTCGATAGACCCGGATCTATTAAATTTATCTAATATGAACAACACCTACTGATTGCTACCTAAATTAATTAGCATTAAATAAAATTTGCATATATTATTAAAATATGGGGTGAAGCCAATAACATGAAGTTAAGGATGGTACATAAGCATGATGTTCACCATTTAGACGCAGTTGATCTGGACGATCAGATGACTGATGATTTTGAAAGGGAACTTATTTTCTATAGAGATCATTTTCATGGGGGTCTCCAACTAACATTTTGCAAGGTGTTGCAGTTGATCATGAACCACTATGATGTGATCTCCACCTAGATCAAAAGCAACTCAATAGAGGCCATAATGACATGTGATCTAGTGCTGGCGAAGAGAGATCCCCTTGTCGTAGGAGCTCTTTTCATATATTTTCTCATTTCGAGTTGAGTCGAATGGCTCTCTTGTTTTTGAGTAGACCGAAAGTTCCTCCTAATCAGACTTGAAAATAAAATTGAAGATTGGTAGCAGTTTTTCATCATTGGGTCAACCAAAGACTGAAAGATCCAGACCCATCTGAACATCGAGGTGAACAAGAAGAAAACCGTGCCTCCCTGAATTTGGTTCATGGCCTCAGCGATCAAAGAGAGGCATCTGTCCTTTCTCTTGTAAATCGTCGAAATGGTGTTGAATAGAGTTATGAATCCACACAAGTTAAGTGTCATGATCGTGGAGAAATGGACAGTATCAGACATTGCAGAGGAGAAGCGAAAAATTGAGAAAATTTCTCAGCTTTCTTACAAGATGCTACAAAAGAATGCGGTCTGACTAGAAGCTGTCGAGGAAATGAAGAGGGGGAAGGCGACCGCACTCACCGTCGGCAAGATCCTAGGTTCGGACTATGTCCCTTCTGTTTCTAAAACTACCATTGTAACACAAAAGGTCTCCACCGAAGAATAGATTTTGATCGAGTGAAAGCCTTCCTTGATTGGTATAGGTTTTTCCAAGGTATAGGACCAGGAGGGGGACATAAGTCCAAGTTACTTGAGGACTGATGCTGAGGAGACTTTGGATGAACGGTCAGATCAAGAGCCAACGACTCCACGATAGGCGATCACCACCAGCTCATTGATTATGCTGCAAGAGGGAGGCTAGCATGCCCTCCTTCGTGGTTCCTACCAAATCCGAGCCAGAGTCTACGCCAGTTGCTGCTGCTGAGGAGGAAACACTTTGCAGGGAGGAAGCTCGGGTCAAGCCTGTACCTAAGGCCTAAACCACTGCCTTCAAAGAAGCTCGCCAAAGTAAGGGCATGGCTCCGACACTTGATTCGAATATCTTGCTTCCCCTGCAATCGGGGAAAAGACTAAGGATCTGTATGGCTTAGCTGCGCTGCCCCAGGAAGTTGCTGTGGGGAAGCTGGTTGTCTGTTTGTTGCAGGTGTGGGAAAGTTGTTTCTGGAAAATTAATAATTCTGCCATTGTTCAGTAAATTTGTTTGTAACAGAACTGTGACATTTATTTAATAATTCAGAGACAAAATTTCAAAATAATAATGAATTTATTTTGAAGTTTAAAAATATGTTCAAATTAATGATGAAATTATTGGAATTCATTATTAGCTTGAATGTAGTTGGAAATCAGTTATTACTTTGAAAGTCTACGAACACTTAAAGCCCTCAAAGAAGATAATTATACTTTCACAATCAAAATAAGTGAGAATGAAATTATCATTCTCATAAACATGTTTTTATCTGCTGGCAACCAAATGAACCATAAGGTGGATCTCGAAATAAGAACACATCCTTCAAACTACTCTCTCTTAACAACTGTAGAAATGAGGCAATCACAATGAAGTAAAATCACCTTCAATTTGCATTAAAGCTGTGAACCCAAAAAAATTTAAATTGTTGCAACAACTACTATGAAAGAAGGGTTTAAACTTCTTTCATTGGAAGAATATGTCCATATAAAATGCTTAACAAATTGTATAGTAACCTATTCGTCTTCATGAGAATGATGATTACTTCATTTTAAATAAGATAACAAAGGTGCATTTACATATATAACACACAAACCTTAAAAATTTACAGATTTAACACCTAAGCTTTCATATTTACATACATAACACTCAAATCATTAGCATCACAACAAGAAACCACTGTTACAAACTGAAGAAGGCAGAATTCACTACTTCCAACATATTCTCAACAGTTTCAAGCTACTAAATGCAATGTATAAGGCAAAATGGAGATTTTAATATCAAAATTCACTGCTTCCAACATGTTCTCAACAGATACAAACTGAAGAAGGCAGAAATCACTGCTTCCAACATATTCTCAACAGTTTCAAGCTACCAAATGAAGCTTGTAATATCTAAATATTGTAATGGGATGGATTTTATATAATGCAGCAAGGAGAACTGGAAAAGAAGGATTTCAAACATGTAAAATAGCAAGATTGCAATTCCCAAGCCAGTAATAATTCTCAGTTAACTTCAAAGTTTTCCTGAGCTCTTGGAATAGCCGTCAAATTGAGTATTTGGAAATCTGAAAATCTGAAAGAATATTTTGCTCTTAAAATGCGGGTTTGTGTTCCCAATAACTTTGAAATGAAAAAAATACATATTATATATGATGAAATGTGCCAAATGCAATTCAATATACGACTAAATGCATTTCAAACTCTTTTTTTAACATATGTAGCCAACCGATTGTTTAATCAATGATAGGAGGGAGAGAAGAAAACGACGTGGAGAAAGAGAGTGAGCAATCATGGGAAATTCCTCCGTTAGATTACCTGGGGAAATCATTTTCTCCTCTATGGCCTCCACCAAACTCTTTAGAACGGAAATTCATTGGTAGTCAGGTGAAAGCAATACTAGTTAACTAGCTTAACCCATAAAAGTCTAAATTTTCATAAGCCAATAAAAAAGAGGCAAACCAGGGGGAGTCGAATCAATCCAAGTTTCAAGACTTAATTATGGCTATACTTTAGATTATTTTAATTTGATTTAATATATTTAGTTGAACTAATCTCTTTAAATAAAGTGTCATTCATATATTTTGATAAGAATTAACTTGATCACAAGATATGATTAGATTGTATTAAAATTTTGGTCTTTCCCGATAATCCTATTTCTATAAAACTTGATTAATAACTTGGAATTGAGCAGGTTATTATTGATTGGCAATGAATGAACTCAAATTATTTGAGTTCAATTAAGTCCTTTTAAGATCAAAATTGTGAATGAGTTCTTTATCTGGATAAGCATATGATTTTGTTGTTTAGGCTTCATAAATAGCGAGTTCCCTATCCATGCTCCATATAAAAGAAATACAAAGCAAGTGAAAGAAATAGCTTTTCTCAAATAAATAAAGAATATTTTCATCAAGGCATTTGTGAGAGGTAATTTGTGTATGTTGGAATTTGATGTTTATAACTTGGTGTTAAGATAAATTAGAGTATTAGTTTATTCATACATCATATAGTTAAGAAATAGGTGATGAAGAGATATTAAATGGTTGCAATCTCCAATACATTTAACCTTCTTGATTCAAACTAAAGTTTAATCATTGGTGCATATCGCAAACTTCAATCGCTCTTTTAATCGAGTCACTAACAGGTACTATCAAAAATAACAACTCGATTGGAATCAAGTAGTTCATGAAATTAATGGGTCAAATGGATCTAGCCCAATATAGAATACTTTAAAAAATAGTGTAGAAATATTAACTGATTAACCTTATCTCATGATCTTAAGCTTCTAGGTTAAAATTAAAATTGATCAATAATGTTTATGGCCCAACTTTGACATCAATTAGGTTTACACTCCCTGATAGTTGAGGATCTAGAATTTCATGTGAATTAAGATACAAGTAGAGCTACCCTCCAATTACTTGAGAAGCTCGAATTTAAGGGGGTATAAGCAAAGGTATAATTTGGAATGTCAGATAATGAAGTGTCAATTTTACATAATTTAGTTAGATTTTTATTTAATGGCTTTTCTTTCCTTTCCTTGATTTAAACTATCATTTATATTTATCTTTGAATATCAACAATCTTTTATTGTACTTACGATGAATCAAAACTTCTTAATTTCTAACTTATCGGTTGTGAAAATCATAAGATCATGGATTCTAATCTATACTTTAAGTGAAAAAAATGTGTAGGAACAAATATATTTTTTACTTAAACTTTCTAAAAAAAAATCAATCTTCCCAATAGTTCCTAAAAGTTAACTATGATTACATGCATCCATGTGCCTACGAAAAAAAATGACTTCTTGATGAAATTATGATCGAGAAAGTTTTTCTAACAGGAAGTTTAAAAATCATACCAGCTTCAATTATAGTTGCATTCACATACTTAGCATCATTCTGATCAAAGTTCTTTTGCGTGCTTCCATTTCTATCAGATGAATATTAGAGATTGCAATGAACAGGGCCACTTTTTTACTGAAATTATCTTTCGACTAGGTATTTAGATTGAAAAATAGAAGCAAAAAACCATTGGTAAAAATAGTTTTCTAGGAAGAAAGCCTAGACCAGACACTATACTTTTAAAGGAATGAAAACAGATGCAGTAAAATATAAGATAAATAAAATAAGTAGTAATAAAAAAAGATTTTTATTTAAGTAGAGTTTGAGTGATGTCACCAATCGTCTACTTCATTCCGCCCCCACCAAAATGTTCGGGCACATTCATTAATCTGAAATTTAGGCAATCTGTAAGAGTATTCAGCGTTCATTCAATTACTTTAATCAACATATTTGCTATCATTCTGAATAGCATATGAACAAATCATATGAAAAAAAAAAATCAAAGACAAAAAAATTGCAAAAACTGGCAAACAAACCACCGTACCAGCAGATACATAGGCTACTATTTCATCAGTCGGAATCAAAACTGAAATTTTAGTCGCAAACATCACTAGTCGCTACTGAACTCTGGTAAATAGTCCTACCTAAAAATAATTTAAAATAAACATTGTAATTAGAATACTGAATTACACGCAAAAGCTTACCTCTACAAACCTCGGATCTGCAACTCAGATCAATTTGTTCACCAACTCAAAAAAACTCTATTCAAAGATCTCTCAAAGGTCAAATGAACGCTTCAAAGACATTCAAAGAGTAGAAAATCTGCTCTCAAAGAAAGTAAGGGATCTCAATGTCTACCCTAGATTTTCTGATCGCGAAGAACACGACTGAGTATAGAGAAAAAGATGACAGATGATAGGCTTCAGCTTACAAGCTCCAGTTTCATCCGATAAGGCGCTGACGAACTTTCGTTCCCTCACACGAAACATCCACGGTCTCTGTTTACAACCAAAGCTTAAAGGCCCAATAAAATCCTTACAGTTCTCTGCCAGATTCAGGGAATTGAAGCAACGATTCATCTTGATTCCGCTACTCCAAAATGTGCACTATTGAGAAACGCAGCAGAGTGTTCGTCCTCACTCTCACCCGGCGACGGCGAGCCCCGCCTTTCCCCCGACTTCATTGATGCGATACGATCCGCCCTTGCCTACGCCAAGACCGATTACTACTCATGCGGCAGGCGAGGCCGAGCCTTGGTCATCACCTCCGATGGACGCTTCTTCTCCAATGGCTTCGAGATTGCCTGGTCCAAAGCAGCAACCTCCCCTGCTGCCTCCCAGGAACGGCTCATCTCCATGGGCTCCCTTTTCATCAATCTCATTGCCGACCTTCTCGCTCTTCCTATGCCGACCATAGCCGCCATCAACGGTCACGCAGCAGCCGCCCGATTCTCCTGGCTATCAGCCACGATTACGTTGAGATGAGGGCGGACAGGGGATTCATTTGTATGAGCGAGATCCATATAGGGATGCCAACTTCGCCTTACTTCCTAACATTGATCAGGTCAAAAGTTTCTGATGCGAAGGTTGTCCGCGACATAGTGTTGCGAGGAGCGAAGATGAAGGCTGCGGAAGCGCAGGCGAAGGGGATTATTGACGGATCACATATTGGAGCAGCGGAGACGGTGGAGGCTGCGGTGCGGCGTGCAGATAAGCTCTTAGAAAGGGATTGGAATGGAGATGTGTATGCTTCGATTCGTCGGAGTTCATTGCCGGAGATTTGCAAGGCCGTGGGGCAGTCAGAAGAGACTGAAAATGAGCGGCAGAAGTTGCTTTTTGTGGTTGCTAAGCTCTAATGAGTTCTGCTTTCCTCATAAACATAGGTTAATTCAAGGCCGCGGTGCGGCGTGCAGATAAGCTCTTAGAAAGGGATTGGAATGATGTGTATGCTTCGATTCGTCGGAGTTCATTGCCGGAGATTTGCAAGGCCGTGGAGCAGTCAGAAGAGACTGAAAATGAGCGGCAGAAGTTGCTTTTTGCGGTTGCTAAGCTCTAATGAGTTCTGCTTTCCTCATAAACATAGGTTAATTCAAGGCCGGAGGCTGCGGTGCGGCGTGCAGATAAGCTCTTAGAAAGGGATTGGAATGATGTGTATGCTTCGATTCGTCGGAGTTCATTGCCGGAGATTTGCAAGGCCGTGGGGCAGTCAGAAGAGACTGAAAATGAGCGGCAGAAGTTGCTTTTTGTGGTTGCTAAGCTCTAATGAGTTCTGCTTTCCTCATAAACATAGGTTAATTCAAGGCCGCGGTGCGGCGTGCAGATAAGCTCTTAGAAAGGGATTGGAATGATGTGTATGCTTCGATTCGTCGGAGTTCATTGCCGGAGATTTGCAAGGCCGTGGAGCAGTCAGAAGAGACTGAAAATGAGCGGCAGAAGTTGCTTTTTGCGGTTGCTAAGCTCTAATGAGTTCTGCTTTCCTCATAAACATAGGTTAATTCAGAGAGAAATAAAGATAATAGATAAATTAATAAATAATAATAAATTTTCATGTAATTAGCAACTTAATAAATAGTTATATATTTATCTATGCCTCTTTTTATCAAGCATATATGGCTCTCTCTTTACCGAGCTATGGAAAATGATTCAAGATCATGTTGTACAATTGGAATTTATTCACTATGGTTTCGTTTGAAATAGCTTAGAGTCTCTTTGAGACCATAGCCGCCATCAACGGTCACGCAGCAGCCGCCCGATTCTCCTGGCTATCAGCCACGATTACGTTGAGATGAGGGCGGACAGGGGATTCATTTATATGAGCGAGATCCATATAGGGATGCCAATTTCGCCTTACTTCCTAACATTGATCAGGTCAAAAGTTTCTGATGCGAAGGTTGTCCGCGACATAGTGTTGCGAGGAGCGAAGATGAAGGCTGCGGAAGCGCAGGCGAAGGGGATTATAGACGGATCACATATTGGAGCAGCGGAGACGGTGGAGGCTGCGGTGCGGCGTGCAGATAAGCTCTTAGAAAGGGATTGGAATGGAGATGTGTATGCTTCGATTCGTCGGAGTTCATTGCCGGAGATTTGCAAGGCCGTGGGGCAGTCAGAAGAGACTGAAAATGAGCGGCAGAAGTTGCTTTTTGTGGTTGCTAAGCTCTAATGAGTTCTGCTTTCCTCATAAACATAGGTTAATTCAAGGCCGCGGTGCGGCGTGCAGATAAGCTCTTAGAAAGGGATTGGAATGGAGATGTGTATGCTTCGATTCGTCGGAGTTCATTGCCGGAGATTTGCAAGGCCGTGGGGCAGTCAGAAGAGACTGAAAATGAGCGGCAGAAGTTGCTTTTTGCGGTTGCTAAGCTCTAATAAGTTCTGCTTTCCTCATAAACATGGTTAATTCTAGAGAGAAATAAAGATAATAGATAAATTAATAAATAATAATAAATTTTCATGTAATTAGCAACTTAATAAATAGTTATATATTTATCTATGCCTCTTTTTATCAAGCATATATGGCTCTCTATCTTTACCGAGCTATGGAAAATGATTCAAGATCATGTTGTACAATTGGAATTTATTCACTATGGTTTCGTTTGAAATAGCTTAGAGTCTCTTTGAGGCAGCTGCAGCTTATTGAATAACCTGCTGATAAGCTGATTAAAAATAATCTGCTGATAAGTTAGATGCGGCAGTTATTACAAATTTTTATTTTTTTTTAAAAAGCCACACCGCAGTCGTTGATCAGGTCAAAAGTTTCTGATGCGAAGGTTGTCTATATTAGATGAATTTTGAAAACTTTTGCGAGGAGCGAAGATGAAGGTGAAGTTGCGAGGAGCGAAGATGAAGGCTGCGGAAGCGCAGGCGAAGGGGATTATAGACGGATCACATATTGGAGCAGCGGAGACGGTGGAGGCTGCGGTGGGGCGTGGCGGTAAGCCCTTTG